ACCTGTTCCTTTATTTTTTGATATTTATTTTACAAATTCTGCTTTTTAGAGTGATGTTGAACCATCATATATAATGGAACGTATCGAAAAGAGTGGTGGATCTAAGTACTCTATTAATGTTGATAAAAATGCACCACCACCAAAGCCAGAACCTATTTTACCAGTGGTATGATATTATTTATTCAGATTCAAATGAGAATATTTACAATTATTAATTGGTATATTTGATGTAGAGATCGGTGTACAAGCCTGTTCAAATACCAAATATAACTGAAATTCAACGAAAAGCTCCTCGAGAAAGGATCGAACCTGTGGTATGCACTTTTTATTTAATGATTGATCTATTAATATCTGCTTTAATTTTATAATCGGAGTTAAGCTGGGCTAGTAGAGTCTATAGTTATTTGAACTTACACAAATGCTAAATGGTTAAGATGATGTGCAACATAGTATAATAACGATATAATAGTGTGAAATCATATATACAAAAAAGATTCTTGCTTCAATTATTACATGCATTTCTGTCATATAGAGATCGGTCTATGAACCTGTTAAAGTACCAGATATGAATGAATTGAGGCGAACCGCCGCTCAGGAGAAAGTCGAGCCAGTGGTATGATATAGTGTTAAAGTCTACATATATCAGTGCAAAGCCAATTATGTAAATTTAATTCGGAATGCGATGGACGATTATATATTATTTTGTATAGAAATCATCATATCAACCTGTTCAGGTACCAGATATAAGTGAATTACAACGAAGTGCACTTCAAGAAAAAATTGAGCCTGTCGTATGTACATGGCGGTTTTTTTTTTTGTTTATCAATAATTATTTGTATCTCCATGTGTAATGGCATTCATTGTTCAATCAATTGGATGATAAAAGCGTTCCGCATATCAACCTGTAAAACCCCCAAAACCAAAACCGATTAATAGTGCACGTTTGGCGTTCTTAAATGCTGGGAAAGAAACAGAACCAGAAAATACATATCGAAAAGACCGTGAAGAACGTGAAAGAGCTGAGCGCGAGAAGGCCAAACGTGAAGAGCAGGAACGCCTGCGA